CCATTTCTCCCATCCCATTGGCTATTTCAATGACCGACCCACCGGCCTTTTCCATCTCTCTCATCCCATTGGCTATTTCAATGACCGACCCACCGACCTTTTCCATTTCTCTCATCCCATTGGCTATTTCAGTGACCGACCCACCGGCCTTTTCCATTTCTTATTGCTCATTCCAGCTCATCCTCAATCAACCTTTCTCAATCAAATATGCAGGGGACCCAGTGCCTATTTCAAAAGGAATGACCCTTGTTAGGGGCCATTCCCGAACAACCTAGTTAGGGTCGTTCTTTTCCATTCTCAAGTCGAACAGCCTGGTTAGGGCCATTCATTTCCATTCTCAAGTCGAACAGCCTGGTTAGGGTCATTCCTTTCCATTCTCAAGTCGAACATCCTGGTTAGGGTCATTCCTTTCCATTCTCAAGTCGAACAGCCTGGTTAGGACCATTCCTTTCCATTCTCAATGTTAGTGCCCGAGGGGGTGGGCCTCGAGGTTACGGATCCCATTTCTGTCTTGGACGTTAGAAGGTGGTCATCTCATCTTTTGCGTGCTATTCTCTTTCTTCCTTTTCTCACAGTAATGTACCATTCATTCCATTTCTCACAGTAATGTACCATCCATTTCATTTCTCACAGTAGTGTACCATCCATGTGTACATCCGACTTAGCGTCTAGCACTCGAGTTGGGGCTTGCGACCCCAAGCAGCACTAGCCCACCCGGCCGTTCATCCATAACAAATGACAAGGGCACCCCTTCCGTTTTCACTCTTCCTGATCTCTCAGGTTTCGGCTATTCTAAGTCTCATTCATGACTCAGTTAGATTAGACTCCTAGGGAAGGAGTGTTCTTCACGCCCCTTAACCCATAGGTTCCCTAACCTCTTTTATACTCGACCAATCATTCAATGTCATGGTTTGCTCGTCAATCCGTACTCAAGGTTTTTCCCTCTCAGAAGCATAATCCTTATTCCATTGAAAATTCACAGTACACCCTCTCCCAATTGGTCTCATCCCAAATCCCATGTCTTTATCTTAGGTACCCAAGGTAGCTCATCCAAAAAGTAGCCTAAAAAACTATCTTCTACTTTAGCGTGACACAGCCTTAGCTGACCCTCTTTTCACTTCCTCCTTAGCAGGCTTGCCCATATTATACACGTTCTCGTTATTCTCACGTCTCTGCAGACAGAAGCAGCGATCCTTTTCAATGCTAAGTCAATACCTAGTTCCTATTACTGTCTTGCGCCTCGTCTCGCCCAGTTCCTTGTCCACCCCGTTCCTCGGCAGGCTTCCTAACCCCCAGGCCGTAGGTCTCGATCTCTCTTTTCATCCTTACAATTTTATGCAACTCTGCCTCGTTGAAAAAATCCAGTGGTGTGGCTTCCACCCCTGCCCTTGTGAGTTCCCGAGTCTTGATAATCCATTCGTGCCTGATCACATTGGTCCATTGCTGAAACCAATGACTGGGCGTTGGCCCAAACTCATCCTCCCATCTGAAAGCCCCGTCGTCCGGCTGGTGCATCGGAGGCCGCCCCTCTTCCCTAGGCCTTGAGATCTCATCCCTCTCATCCCCGCTGCTGATTTCTATAACTTCTCGCACATCCTCCTCCTCGTCCCCTTCGTCTTCAGTTTGTATGAGGCTATACCCACCAGCAAGGTTCTTTGAATCGTAGGTAAAAGGGCTCTCTGTCCCCGTCCCATACCCCTCGCAACTGCCGTGACCGCTTCGTCCTTCAAGCGGGCTCTCCCTTTTCTCCTCGCCCTCCTCATGTTCGTCGCGCATACCTTGTCCCCCCTCGTTTTCCCCATGCCAAGTCTCACGTCGTTCGCCCCCGTTGGCCCCTTCCTCGTTAGAGACCCGAGCCTTATCTCCCATTTCTGTGTTGCCTCCTTCTTCCACATTTGCCCTTCCCTTTTCGCCCTCAGTGTCAGATGATATCTCTATACCTTCTCCCTTACGGAGGGGTGAGGGTTTCCTACACAAGCATTTCCTTCCACCCCTGCCTACCACTGGCCCGCCCATGAGCCCAATGTACAATTTTCTCTTCGCTGTCCTCCTCCCTTGGCTTGGTCCAGCTTCTTCCCCTCCGGTAGGCCTGTTGATTGCCCCGCTGTCGTTCTCGTTGCCGAATTCCATTTTTGTCTTTTCTCGTTTTACTCCTAAGCCCTGTATAACAAAACAACACCCGCAATGTCCTTCATACACTCGCGCCTCCCCCCCCCTTAGGCCGGTAGACATTCCTAAAATGTACCCAGTATCCCTCGCATCACGCCCCTTTTATACATGCGAATGCGTCGTTTGTGATGACCCCATTTTGTTTTTTCCCGTAAAAAACTATGGTACAATGCCCCAAACATCCCTTCCCGTTGTCACACAAGCCAGATATTGCAAACCCCCAAGTCATGCTGCCTTTCAACCTCAGTCAGTCCAAGCCAAAGCGCCAGTCCCAAAAAAAAAATGACAGTCCCACGAACATGGTCAGAGACAAACCATAGTGTGGGCAAGGTTGTGGTCAGTCTTTAGCTTGTGGCTCCTCTATTTCCTTATCTTCGGCCTCCTGAAGCCATTGTTCCACTGGGTCTCGACTTAGAAACCTGATCAGCCGTTGCCCCGGGAAGGGCCCTTTCAATCCAGTTTCATCCAAATCTTCCAGTTTGAAGGTGTTCAGTCCCACCCGCTTGGCGACCCGGTAGGGGCCTTTGAACCTCCTTCCCAACTGTCCCGACCAAGTACTTTCTAGTGCCGAGTTCCTTAGCAATACCATCTCCCCCACCTGAAGTGGTTCCTTTCTGATATTCTTAACCTGGTCCCACCTTGCTTTGTCCCTCATTCTGCTGTCCAGCACCCGGCTGGCGATGTCTTTCATGACCTTCTCATTCTTAAGGATTTGTTGACATCTTGCCTCGATTAACTCTTCAGTGGTCATTTGCAGATCATCATCTAACCTATTCCAGGTAGGTACCAAGGCTTCCACAGGAAAGTCGATCTCTCTTCCGTACCAAAGCTCTGCCGGGATACATCCTGTTGTCCTTTTAGGAGTCATATTCTCTGCAAAGACAACCTGCTTAAGATATCTAGGCCAGTTCCCCAGATGGTCTGCTGCGAGCTTTGCAATCGTGTTCTTCAAGGTTCGGTGCCCCCTTTCCACAGGTGCATTGGCCTCAGGGTGATACGGCTCGATGAGTTTGATTGGTACGCATAGTCTCTTAAGCATCCCCAATACTTCTTGGTTCACAAATTCCGTCTCATTGTCTGCTATAAACCTCCTTACGAACGGATGCCTTAAGTAGAAGTCTTCTATCCAGTTCGTCACACTCCTCCCTGTCTTTTTCTTGAGGGCGACTTTCTCCACGAACCCACTCAAGTTGTCTCGTGCATCCAGGATATACCTGTACCCATCCGTTGATACAAGCATGACCGCAAGGTCGAGGTGGACCAGATGTCCTGACCCTAGCACCCGTGTTGGTCTAAGCGGCTCGAAGACTTGTACCGAGCTTCGTTCTTGGCAAATAAGGCAAGTCTGGCAGTATATAGCGACCATGTCTGCCATGCCTGACCAATAATAAAGCGACGTTATCTTTGCAAGTGTTCCTTTGGACGACCGATGACCTCCAGCTAACCCGTCGTGCATTGCCTGGATAACGTCTACTTGCCTAGGTCTTCCGCACACAACCCTTCTGGGCATAGCACCTTCCTCCCTTCGGAACAAATGCCCGCCCCTTAGGACGTACCTTTCGGCTTCTTCTCTTGCTTTAATACTGACTTCCGTAGGTTGTTTGTTTCCTACTAACAACAGTCCGATCTCCCGAAAGAGCCCTTCGTATAATTGGACATAGAAAAACTCCTCCCCTTCCTGGCCCCCATCCTTTCCTTCCTGCATCTGGTTTACCACCCATTGCAACTTTTTCCTTTTCCAAGATTCCACTAAGCTCATCACTGCTTCCTGGCCTCCTTCGACCGCCATGGCCATTAGTTCCTCTTTCGGTCCTACCATCGCTCCCCATGAGTCATGTTCTTCTCTGCGTCCTCGAGTGGTAACTGGTCCTTCTCTAAGTTCTGCTACTACGACAGGTGCCCCTTTCTCCAAAGTCTGGATCAATAGTTCTCCCGATGTGCATTCTTCGCTCATCATTTTGTTGTCTACCGCAAGAGTTCCTCCTTCGTATTCGAGGAAGGCGTCTATGGGCTCTGCATCCTCCATCCCTTCGGGAGTGATGCAAACCCGACTCAGCCCATCTGCCTTGTTGCGGATTCCAACAATCCGTTCGATCTTGAATCGAACTGCCAGATGAATCCTACCCATCTCCCTACCATCGGATCTATAGGCCTGTAATTCTTTAGAGCCCCTGCGACATTCGTCGGATCAATCCTTAAGATGAACTGCCTCCCAAATAGGTAGGTCTGGAAGGTCTTAAGGCAATGCAGGATGGCTAGGACTTCCTTCTTGAATTGCGAGTACCGCCGTTCTGCGGAGTTCAGGGTTCTACTTTCGAACCTAATCGGCCTCTCTTTTCCTCCTTCATCCCTTTGAATCAACACACCTCCTACGACCAAAGGTCCCTCATCCGTCTCTAGGATGAAGGGTCGTCCCACTTCGTCATTAAAACAAGGTGCGGACAGGGCGACTGTCTCATATGTCAATATGTCCTTGAGCCTTTGGACAACTCCTTCTCGCTCCTCCGTCCAATCCATGGTTCCTTCTTCCCTGATCATAGCCCGGATAGGCTCAACAATCTTGGCAAAGTTCTTAATGAAGATCCTCCAAAAGCCGACTACGCCTAGGAATGCCCTTACCTCCATTGTCGTGCGCAGCGGTGTCGGCCACTGTGATATCTTGTCGGTCTTTGCTGGATCCGGCTTCCTGCCGTAAGCACCGCAACAAAATCCTAGTATAGTTACCTCCGGTACTGGTAGGATACTCTTTGGTCCACTAGTCGTAATGTTGTATACTATGAACTGGCGGAGGAAGTCATTGATATCCTGCAGGTGGTCTCACACAAAACGTCGAATCCCTGGCTGGACTTCTGCCTCGTCCTTCTGCTGCGCGCCTTTGATAGGATTGTCATCGATGTAAGGTTCACATTTTTATGGGAACATGTCCCCGGCCACGGCGAGCATCCTGCGTTGCGCTTCGGCCACCGCGTTTGTGCATCCCATAGGTGTCACTTGCATCTGTAGCTGGCCTACGGGGGTATGCATAGCGGTGTATGGCCTGTCCCGAACATCCAATGGAAGTTGGTCGTACCCTGAGTACAGATCTATCAGGGAGTAAATGCTCCGACCGGCGTGCGATTCTGCTAATAAGTCAACCTGAGGTAGCGAACCAGCATCCCGGATGGTTACCGCATTCAACTTTTGCAGGTCCTGAATCCACCTTAGTGTCTTGTTAGGCTTCCGAAAGACGAACCACCGATTTGTGTATGGCGATGTCATAGGCTCCGCAATGAAGGAGTCCATCTTCGCTCGGAGGAGGTCTGTTACTTCTCCTGCTATCCCAAATTCATAGGATGACCCCTTGTCATTCCAGCACTCATGTTCTACCGTGTGGATTCTGACCGGAGGGATCAACTTCGCATCCAGTCGTCCCTTCTGGTGATCACTAAAGGCAAATGCCAGGTGAAACTCCTGGCAGGTCCTTTTGATCAGGCGGGTTTCTTCTTCCGTTAAGAACCCGTCTATCCCCATTTTCATCGTGTCCGCTACCTCATCTGGTATCCGATGTCCCTCCATCGCCCTTCTTTCTCGGATCACTCGAAGGACCTCTTCCTCCTTCTCCATAGCCTCTTCCTTTGATGTCTCTAGTAGGATCGAGACTGGTTTTACTTTCTTCCCTACCGGCTTGTACTTTCAAACACTTCCTTCCGGGATTTTTCTCCTAAAAAATGAACAGCCGGAATTGCCCCCGTCGCCTCTACGACTCGTGGTTGAATACTAACTAGTTTCCCATTCAGGCAATATCCCTTTTGCACCTCTCTCTCGAACTTGGTCAAGGCTGCCAAATCCACTCCTACCTTGTGGTATCTGAGGGCCTTGATGAGTTGCAATAGATCGGGGATCTCGAGTGCGATTTCCGTCACGTCTATGCGTACTTCTTTCTGATTGGGCAAGCTAACACCAAGTTCGACCTCTGACTCATTTTCCGCTACCATAACACCTAATACTTCATCCTCCTACCTCCTCTTCTTCTGGGGAAGGCCCATCTTGATCCACTCCTTCTTGTTGAATGCTTCCTCAATCATTATTTCTACCCTTTCTCTCATACCCTCCATCCATGCGAAAGCCCCTTTTCGCGTGCTATCCTCGAACGACGGCGACCATGTTGCCAATTTCCCCTTCGGGCCCCTTCGGGGGGTCTCCTCCCGTTCCAAAGAGTCGGAGAAGCTCTCCCCGGCCGGTTACAGGGTCCTCTATGTCTACCATGTATGAGCCATCGTGCAAGTGCATGCCTATCATCTCCACGTTCGCACACCACGGTCTCCCGAGGATTATGTCGTGGTCCATTTCCTCCATTACGGTCATCCGCTGAAACGACCAGATCGATTCCCTAACCCCTGCCTTCACAACACACTTCGTGACGTACCCAGCGAACGGGATTTTCCCGCCAGCTCCCCGGATGCTCCCTGTTACTTCCTTGTTTACCGTACATCCTATGATCGTTGCGAAATCTCGTCTTATGAGAGTGATTTCTGCCCCCCGTCTACTAATGCGTCAGTATGATGACTCCCGATGTGGATTTTCAGTTTCCCTACGGGCAGCGCATGAAAGCTAAGCTTCGTCCCGGGTGGCAATCTCATGACTTCGCCACCCTCTCGGTCGGGCAAGCTCAAACGAATGTCTGCAAAGGCCTTTTCGATATCCTCCAAGTCTCCTTGACTCCTCTGAAGGTTAGCCACTTCTTGCGGAGCTTCCTCCTCCCTCTCCCCTTCTAGTAATTCGGGGTTGTCGCCTATTTCTACTCGCCTCCGAGTCAACAGTTGTCTGAGCCTTTTGAGCAACCTAAGGCTAGCCTGCAACATGGTCTGAAAAGACACCGACACCATGGTTCCTAGTAACTTGCTAATGGTGTCGTCGAGCTCCGACAAGGTTAAGATCGGGATTTGATACCTAAACTTCTTCTTAGCGGAGGTATCCTTGTCCGCAGGCTCCTCTTCCCTAGGCTTCTCATAGACTTTCTCTGGTTCCTCGGCCTCAGGCTCTGCCTGGGGTTCGGAGCTTCCAGCGACCTCCTCCATAATGGTGTCACGGTTAATCCTTCTCCCGGCCGTTCCCAGTCGAGTGGTTGCGTTCACCCTATCACGTCCGTCGCTTTCCAAAATAAAGTTGGCCTGCGGTCCGCGCCCCCGGAGTTGATCCCAGATGATCTCACCCACTGGTTGCGCTTCTACGACGGTTATTTCTAACCCGTTGAGCATGATAATGACTCGCCGCATCCCTCCTGGTGAATTCCAGTTCACCCGTTCCCCTTGTGGTCCAAATATCTCCCCCTTTAATGACCTGGTACACCTTCTTTTCAGAATATCATGGTTGAGCTTTGGGCATGCGCGCACATAATGTCCTATCGCGGTGCAGTACTTGCATTGCTCGTTAGCAGGATCTCTCCGTCCGAATCCCCGGTTTGGTACACCTGGCGGGACCACAGCTTCCTGGGGAGGGAGGGCAGGTCGGGATACTTGCGCTTGCATAACCAGTAGCGCGCCTTCCATCCTTTCAATCTTATTGTTGACCCCGTGCACCCGTTCATGTAGACTTTCAATCCCCTTCTTTACCTTGTTGCCCGTCCTACCGGTCAGATCTATGATCTCTCCTTCCTTGAGCAAGGCCAACGTCTCCGTTACTACCGTTTTCTCAGCCAGATCCGTTACCGTGCTAAAATCAACATCCCGCGTGTTTATGAACTTGCTCGTCTGTTGGTAGGCTGACAGGATCTTGTCTTAGTCGAACTCGGAGAACTGCCTGAGGAAATATTTGCTCATTATCCGGTCCGTGACCCCGGGGATCCTTAGTGCTACCAGAGTAAATTCCCGTAGGAAATCTTTGTACGTTGCGAAGTTCTTCCTCTGAACTGTCGCTAGGTCGACCCCCGTTGCCATTTTTTCTGCCGCTAGGTACTTCCTCATCATCACATCCCGGGTCTCCTTCCAAGACCGGCTTGCGGCTACAATGACCATTATATCCCGTCTTAGACTTAACGACACATGTTGTCCTAGATGGTCCATCTTTTCCTCCTCGGTCCACTTTAGTAACGCAGCTACGTTCTCGTAGTCGATCAGGAACTCCGTGATGTTTGCTCCATCGAAAGTCAGCTTTTTCTTGGCGTCTGTCAGATAGCCTTGATTTTTGTTTAGTGCTCGCGCGAGGGACGACACTATCTTCTTAAGGCCGCCCTTGGAGTTGTTGGCCTCGCCTGCCACACTGTTATCCGGACTTTCTTTGCTGGTCTTCTGTCCCTCCCTGGTTTTCATAGTTCGTTCCGGGTCAAACCATCCCAACACTCTTTCCCTAAGGCTCCAAAGTCCTTCGCATCCTTGCGCTACTGCTGGCGTGATCGGCAGACGGCTAGCCCTACTGTCCATGGCTGGCGGAGTCGTAGCCTTTTCTGCTTCCATCCTCGAAGAGTTTCCTCTCTCTTTCCTTCTCTTGCTCGGCGTTCCCCCACGGTCACTACCTTTATCCCCTTGTCCAGTCCCACCTTGGCTGGCTTTCCGTTCGTCCCGGGTTACCTCCTGCAGACGACCTTCTTCGTTCCTAGTCATCATTTCCTCAATTAGTCTTGCCTTGTATTCCGCGGTTCTCTTGTCTATCTCGGCTAGTTTGCGCCTCGTGTCTGTGACCCTTACTTTTTTAGGCATGGCTCCTTCCGAGTTTCGGGGGCTTGTCCTATCCTTATTTCTGCCTTCCTTGGTCCCCTGGGTCCCTTGCCTGCTTCCCCCGGCTTTCCCCGAGCTTTCTCCTGTGGAGATTTCCTTCCGGTTCCCTTTAGTACCATCCGGATTTATTGATTCTCTGTCCTTCTGCCCCCCTTCGCTTGGCGCGGGACTGCCTTCTAAGCCTGGTTCTCCTTCACTCTTACAGTTATCTGTCTCCTCCTCCGTTGCCATTTTGCCTAGTTCTGCATAAGCCAAAGAATTCCCAGGACACACGCAATGCGAGGCTTTTAGGTTCCCTAGGCTCCCAGCTCTGTTAGCTTATCTTTATAGTCTCCTTTCCTATCCCCGTTTTGTGATTGCCCTTCCTTAAGGAGGAGCCACAACTGGTCCTGCCGCCCAACCGAGCTATGGACGTGACTGGGTTTCCTTTATCACAAGCTCGTTTGTAGTGCCCTTGTCCCGTCGGCCGACGTGAGGGAATCCGGGTTAGGCGTCCTGCTAGGGGAAGCCTTCTCGAGCAGCGTTTCCCGTTTTGACCTTCAGGGTTATGGTCAATCATTAGGAGTCTGCCCCCCCCCCCTTCTTTGTTTTTCTAGTGGGTTTTAGTCATCCTGGTCCGAGGCCCCTTTCCTATTCCCATCGGCGAACTTCCATACGCAGCGAACTATACTCGATCTGCCCTATTGATCCGCCTGCGGATGCTAATTCCGCTCTCGCCCTCGAGGCTCTTCTGGTTCGGTAGGCTCCTCGAATAGTTGAGCCACCCCCGTTAGATAATTCTCCCCTATCTCGATTTCCCTTTGGATTATGCGTTCGCACCCTGTCCAATCTAGCCGGGGCACACAAAACATCAGGATGTGGATAACTTCTAGTAATTCGTGGGCCCTGTTTCCCCAGAACGGCCCATGCTCCACAGCGACATCGTAGAACATCCCAATGGTAGGGGAGGGAAAGCGGCCTGACTAGACTATTGCTGAGTCTGCCAGCTCCCACGCCCTTGCGAGGCTTCCGAAGACGAGGTCTATCATAAAACGGGGCACTCGACATCTCAGCGGTGTGGTCGGTGCCCTGAACTCCCTCCAACCTCTCATTTCCACCCGGGTAAGTAAGCCCACGTTCCTTCTTCCCCTGACCGAATGTCCTATCCGGGTCAACGTCCGGGCGGCCCTTTGAAAGACCGGTGCCAGCTCGTGACCTTGTGCTATCTCTACCCCCAACGAGTGCCAGCCGATCTCAGGCAGATACATGGTCCCGGTAACTTCCAGATTGGAGAACAGATCGTCTCCGGGTCCTCGGTTGAGTCTCATCCYTGTCCACCGACATTCTACCAATATGAAGGCGGCGTCCCTTCCCAAAGTCACGGCCCGCCATTCTACGTCGAACCCCCGATAGGTAGAACTCGACGGGAGGGATACTTCCCATCGCCCACCGTCGTTCCAGGGCGGTCCGGGGTACCGGGGTTGGCGTTCCATTCGCACACGGGGCTGACGTTCCACTCGCTCACGTCTTGCTGCCATTGTTACCTTGGTGATTTCCTGCATAGTCCACATAGAAAGGGTTACAGCCAATCTTCAGAATCAGCCCACCTACTGTCTCCCTTGCCCTTCGTGTTTTCATTTCTCTTTTCTAGTCCCAACTATCCCTCTATACCCCCGGGAGCGGTAGCCTCCTCTTGTTGTTCGTACAGCCGGTAGAGATCATCTATGTAAGTCGCGCCCCGACCTACCTCTCGCCGGATGACTCTCCACATAGTCTCATCGCTTATTTGTGGGAATCCTGGCCTAGTATTTACCGCAGCTCGTAGAATGCAAAGCACCTCGTGCCCTTGTTCGTCCCCGAAAGGCCCCATCTCTAGGAAGGCCCGATAGTATTCTCGATACCTTTATGCTTCGTCAAAATTTAGCCTAATTACGATAGTCACCACCTGCTCCACTCGTTCTATGCCTCCCATTCTTCTTAGCAGGAAGGGTGGTACACTCATCCGTACGACCTCATTTGGCAGCTCAAAAACCCCTGCCGCGGTGACTTTTACCTCCGCCGTTACGTCATCTCGTTCCGGATCTGCAAACTCAAACCCCTCCTGCCACGTCGCTTGCCATGCCCCTTCGAACATTCGCACGGGGTCATCCCCGGAAGCCAAAGCAATCCCAAAGGTCCGCCATCCCTCGTCCGACAGGTGTAAGGATCCCGTCGCATGTACACGTCCTGGGCGGTTCAAGTCTACTCCCCGGAACTCCCCTCTCGCCCGCCATTCCAGCTTCACTACTAGGTACACCGTATCTTCCACCAACTCTACCCCCACCCAGTCCATTACCGGATTGCCTACCGTATTTCTTGCCGGCGGGCTTATTTCGACGCTGCCCTGTGATATTCTTGGTGGCAGGATCCCACGAGGTCTATCCGCCCAGAACGTCATTCGCCGGGGCATCTCGCAATGTCTCCTTTCCTGCTTTCTTAGTCCGATCGCTGCACCCACCGAGATTCCATGCCTTTCGTGTTTTAGTCTTTCAACCCTCCCTACTTATCGTACACTGGTTCTTGCCGCTATCCCAACTCATACACGTTCAATTCTACTCCCCCCCCCCATTTTCCAGTTGCTGCCACTTCCCCCTTGTTTCGATCCTTATTCACCCTCTACAGCCTAATGTACACACTCCCTTTCTTATGTTACATCTTGATTCACAAACACCCTCCACACTCAGGTCTTTTCGCGGTGATCGCCCCCCCATCCTCATTCAGTCGAACCACAGTACCTCAAATAGTTTAAAAACGTCGTCTACATAGGAGGGTGCAGCCGCCGCCTCCCGGCTAACTATGGCGTCCCAAGATTCCGCCTCTACCTCTAGGCGGTCGTACCTGCCTATTCTTAGGACGATGATGACTTCCTCGGCTTTATCTCCGTAGAAGGGCTCATGTTTCAATGAGAGCCTATAGAACTCCTCAGTCAGCCAGACACACTCTATATGCACCTTTCTCATGGAGTCGGCTACTTCTAAAATGTGCTCAAACCCCCCAAACCACTCGGCTATGAATTCCGGTACCCAAGCCGTTATCCGTAGACTTGGAGGTTTGAGTTCCTTCCATCCTCCCATCACAACTCTGCTACTAACTTCGTCCCATCCCTCGTTGACAAACAACTTGCCTTCCTTTCGGGTTCGGGCCTCTGCATTCCCTAGAAGCCACATCGGGTCCTGTCCTATTGCTAACATGGTGCAAAACAGGCGTCATCCATCCTCGGAAAGGACAATCGTTCCAACTGACTCTACCTTGCCTTCTGCTATATCATCCCAACCTTCCTCTTCCCTTATCGGGTTCCAAATCCGCTCTATCCATACATATAACAAGTCTCGGGCAACCTCAAACCCAATCCAGTCGCACGTGGTCCATCTCCATCCGTTCCCTGTTGGTATAGGCATTTATATTTCTCCTCTGAGTCGCCGTGGTTCCCAGCCTTTGAAGGGGTATTCCATCATTCTTTCTTCTGTAGTCATCTTTCCCTTTCCTGCACAATACCAGGTCACCCGTCCTTCCTAAGTTAAGTTTCCCCACCCCTCTCAGAAGTCACAGTCCTCTATCTCTTCATCACTGAAGTCGTCCTCCTCGTTATATACCAACCCCCTCACCCCATCTAGAAACGTCTCCCCTATTGCCACATTCCTATAGACTATTCCCCAATGCACAGCGCTAGGGACAAAGATATTGTCTATGCTAAGGCAGTTTAGTATCTCGGCCAGCTCCTCCGCCCAGTTCCCCTCGAACGGCCCCATCTCTACTGATAACCGAAAAAAATTTTGCCTAGCGCATTGGTATAGCCCGAGGTTTGTCATGGACTGGCATATCCGTACTAGCCTGCTCCGGGTTTCGAAAACTGCATCCACTAGGAAGGAAGGCAGCACACATCGCATGGTTCTTACGGGTCGCCTCATGCTTCCTCTATCCCCAAGTTCCACCCGTACGTCTACCTTTTCCATTTCCATTTCCCTCCGTTGACATACAGCCCACACAACCTCTGCTTCTGCCTTCCTAAACAACTCGTCCGGCGTATTTCCGAGTGCCAACTCTATGATCATAGCTTTCTCCCCATCTTGCGACAAGTAGACTCACCCCCGGGCTTCCACCGTCCCTCGGAATTCCAAATTCATTAAACTTGGTGACAACCTCGTCAAGCTGACATTAATCCATATTGTTTCTATCCAAAGGAAAGCATCCTCTCCTTCCAGCATTACCGTTTGATACGCTGGTTCAAGGTCCGTCCACGTTCCATTTTCCGGGAGGACGACCGATACCCCATCCTTTACATCTACTGGCATTTCCGGGCCGCTAGTATAGATCGGGGAAGGCAACCATCGCGCCATCTTGTTTTCAGCACCCGACCCCTGTTTTCATAAGAAGACACCAACCGATCATTTTGGTCAGCTCAACCCTTGTCCTAAATGAGAATTATTTCAGACCCCTCATCAATGTCTCCCTATTTTACCTCCCCTTTCCTAAGTACCCCCTTCCTATAATTCCCTCGGTCGGTCATCCATTTGCCCACATTCTTTCTCTTGGTTCCATTCCAATTGACCTCTATCCTCCTTCCTTCCGATCATCTTTCACTCGTGCGGACTTAGATGGGAGGGGGAATAGACTTAGAAGAGTGCTCATCCAACAGTCCAATCTCAATCAATTTTTACAGAGGAAGAACACATAAAAGAAAATCAGGCAACCTCACATACGGGCCGGTTATCTCCTCACCGGTCATCCCCAATATGGTCTCTCCGCTGGTACTATCGGTAGAGTTTTATCCCATACCTCAAGCGCAGCTCAACCGTCGCGAGTGCGGTATCCAGGTCTCGGCAAGGCATTCGCCCTTTCCTCCTTACCCAGAAGTCCCCATCCCGTCTTGCCGCTTTGCACATCCATACCGACACCGAGGGTTACCTCAAGTGCCTAAATACAGGGACAAAGTCAGCCGTCCGGGCATCCACTTCCATCGGTCCGACAAGAATCAGCCTTTCCCAAAACCATGCTACGAGAGGCTACTAATCGCCTCCAAGGCTCCGTCTTGGCCACATGCAGTGGTACTCCCTCCGCCAGCCAACAGGCCAAGCCCCGCGTGAGGAGATTTCACACCCCGCCCAGCAGATCATCGAGCCGAAGCCCGTCAGCGCTCGAACGAGAATGCTACTAATCAACCGACGTGACAAACTCCCGTCCGACAGCTTGGTGGTCTGACCTCCACATACGAACACACGGCAGCCTACAAAAGAGAACGACGTTTCGCAACCCGCACTGGCAGGTGCAGACCAATCCTTTCCTTCCGAAAGGCAGGACGCTCGAATCCCACCATGCAAACACAAGTCCCAAGTGGGACACACATAATACAAGTGTCATTCCCTTGGTGCACCCAGCGCTTCCTACCCATAACTCACAAATTTTCTCTCAGGACAATGAGTGTCACTCCCCCTACTTTCACACACAGTGGTTGGTTCCTTCTCGTTAGAATCTTCAAGGGTGAGCTAGTTTTCCTTGGAGTCTAGCAACTCCCTTCATTTCCCTTCTCTTCACTTGTCTGTCCTTTCATAGGGTACGATTGTTCTTTCTTGATGACCCGTTGTGTTCATATTGGTTCCTTCAATCATTAAAAAGGTACAAAGTGCATGAGCCCGCTGGGCTCAAAAGAAGAAGGGGAAAACACCCATTCGGTCGGATCACTCCGCCATGGGATTTTCAATGGAACCTGACCTAAGCCAAGCACCAACCGCCTGCCAGGCAACCGGAGCCCTTCTTTCATACGAAGAGGAAGGGTCGACCTGCGACTTGCCCAAGGCTTCCCCGGACTAGCGAACACCAGCACCGGATGAAGGAGGGTTAGAGTCATTCCTCAAAAGAACGGCTGATCAAGTGCATAGCATGCATGTTATACCTCCAGACCTTGCCATGCCATGCGCCCAACCACCCTCAAATCTGATTTCTCACAAGGGAAAGGGCAAACACAAGTCAATTTTCCTTATCTTGGGTTGTGTAGACGTCAATGCGTCGGACGCCCCCGTCGGGATCGCAAGGGTCAATTTAACCCCATACCCGGCACCTCCACCATTTTTATAGGGCCAAGCCCCGGTAGACTTTCGAGCCTTAGTCGACCCCACTGCGGGTCCCAGTTGGCTCGGCCCGCCCACGCTCATGCTCAGGGCGCGGGCTGTTCGTCCCGAGGTCACCCCCACCTAGTGCTTTGAGATGGATGGGGGTGGGTCATCGCGCAAGAAAGCTTTGACATTGGGGATGTAGCTCAACCCTCACGCCGGGTGGTAGTCTCGCTGGTCGTTCCGCAACGCTGATTTTTTTTTGATTCTTTATTGTGTTCTGAAGTAATTGCTCCTTCCAATATGCAGGCAGTCCAGGGGTTCTTTGAGCGTTTCTCTTTTCTTGTGCGTAGGCTAAGCGTCATCCTTAGGCCACGCACCATTTCCCTAAGCATTTTGGCTATATGGCGCCATCGCCGTGCGGCGGGGCCATCCTCCCCCTTGCCTCTACGCATCCATCAGATCTCACAATTTGCTTCCCACCTTATTCAAGTAAGCCCCTTAGTCTTTACGGGGTCCTCATATGCATGCACACACAACATCACATTTTCCTTGGTACGATTGCACTCTCAATCACACTCTCAAGTCTCAAGTGCAAAAGTCATTTTCATGAATTGGCTTTATCTCAAGGGTCCCATAGCCCCTTTGTCCCTCTTCCTTTCCCTCTTGGTGCCCAGCTCCTCTCGCCCTTATCCCGCTTAAGGCATTTCTAGCCATTACTCACCTGCACAATCCCACACAAGCACATAGCCCTTCCGCTCTTTGGCTGTGCTTTGTTCCCTTTTTGTTGTTCAATCAGCCCATCCTCTTCTTATAGTCATGCAGTCGGGGAAATGGTTGAGTCAAAATGACCTCTTTCTCAACTTATGCTTCTTTCTAGATCCCGTCTTTCTCCCACTTTTTCAAATGTCCTCTCTCTTTTGCCTCCTTGGTGGCACAAGGGACCGGCTATCCTCCCCTTGCCCTCTTTCTCCACCAAGTGAAGTCTGATTTCGTTTACCGTTCGTACCCTGGCAATGTTTTCCAAGTGAGGGGAGAAGGGGTTAGTCATATGCCAAGTAAGGGGGAGGGAGAGAGGGGGCAAGGCGAAAGGAGAGACAGAGTGGGGGAGAGAGAGGAGAGAGAGAGAGAGGGAGAGAAAGAGAGAGAAAGAAAGAGAGAGAGAGTGAACAAGAGCGAGCGAGAGAGAGAGAGA